GGAGCTTTGGCTAGTCGCCCCCCCACTCGCAACAACGAAAAGTTGCACCAAGTCCCTGTGTCTTCATGGATGAATGGGTTCAACCGCTGAAGACTAGGACCAATTGTAGATCCTTTCCTAACCTTTTCGATTTCTCCTTGATACTCGTGATGCTGGACGATTTCGACAATTTTATAAAAGGCTTCATTGTATTCGGTCGGTGAGATAGTTTTTTCGAATTTTAGGCTTGGGTCTTTACATTTTCTTATAAAGCGGAACACATACACAAACACTCTAAGCAGTTTGAGGTGTGACGAGAATCCCTCGATGACATCTAACAGCTCCGAACTTCGCACAGCCGCGGTCAGCCCGACCGCAGTCTTCCTCTTTTCCAGCTGAAGATCATCGGAGTGTTCGAAATGAGCGTTCTTGGGCCAGTTTTCTTCTTCCTCTTTTAGAAATGATGGTCCTTCGAAACAAATTGACTGAACGATTTCGTCGACGTCACAACCTCTTGAGACAATATCTGCTGGGTTCTGTTTCGTGGGTACATGCCGCCACGTAGCATCATCTGACCACTCTTGAATCTCAGCCACTCTATTTGAAACGAAAGTCGACAACGACGATTGATGAGACCGGATCCAATGAAGAGTTACCTCTGAATCCGACCAATAAACGACTCGTTCAATGGGCACGTTTAATAGGGGCTTGATTCTGTGACAGAGATCTGCGAGAAGGTGAGCGGCACATAACTCAAGCCTTGGGAGCGTTTTGGTCTTGAGCGGCGCTACTTTGGATTTCGAAGTCAACAATGATATTTTTAAACCTTCTGCAGTTCTACGTATATAGACGCACGCTCCATACGCTCTCATGGAGGCGTCAGCAAAGGCATGTATTTGAACCGGTGACATCGGATCGGAATACACAAACCGAGCTATGGATATGTCTTCCAATTGAGATAGTGTATTTTTCAACTTATTCCACGCTGTTTCCAAATGCAGAGGGATCGACTCATCCCAATCTAGTTTGTTAAGCCAAAGCTCCTGCAATAGGATCTTGAACTTTATAACGATAGGACTTAATAAACCAAGGGGGTCAAACAACTTTGATGTCACCGATAGTATGTTCCGTTTTGTCGCTCGGAGACCCATAACTGAATTGTTAATTTTGAACTTAAAGGCATCGTCAGTAGGTAACCATGAGATTCCTAACGCCTTTGTCGACTCTGAATCCGAGATTGTTATGGGTTTGGCTGTGCTCTCAGATGCGGTGATCTCGGGTGAATTTGAAAACCACTTAGTCAACTCAAACCCTGCGGTCTGAAGAACCTGAGACACTTCGGACTTAATTGCCCTTAGCTCCTCTACGCATGCAGCACCAGTCAACAAGTCATCGACGTAAAAGTCGGACCCAATAACGTTAGCAGCTCTAGGGAATGAGAGCTTCGCAGACTCACTCAACCTTTTCAAACACCGGATAGCTAAGAATGGGGCTGGTCCAGTCCCATAGGTTACAGTGTTGAGCTTGTATAATCTCAAGGATTCAGAAGGGTCTCTTCTCCACACTATGAGCTGAAACTGCCGATCCGCTTCGTTCGCCATCACTTGGCGATACATCTTTTTAACATCAGCAGTCAGGGCAAACCTGTGCAGAAGGAAACGGGGCCGTGTCGAGTATAATTCCTCTTGAATGGTAGGTCCCACCAACAGAATATCATTTAAGGCCACCTGTGAGGACGTCTTGGACGAAGCATCGAACACGACTCGGAGCTTGGTAAACGTACTTTGGGGCCTCAGAACACACTGATGAGGGATTACGTAGTGTGGAGTAGAAGGAATCGTATTGTCAGTAGGAGACATATGTCCTAAGGAGAGGTACTCTTCCATGAATTCCAAGTACATTTTCTTCAACTCAGGGTCACGATGCCTTTCAAGCGACAAAAACCGCCGTTTCGCAACCTCAAAGGAGTTGCGTAAACAATTTGGATCTGATTTAAACGGGAGCCTAACTTCGAACCGACCTGATGATAGTACCTGAGTCGTCTTACGATAGTGTTCTTCACACAGCTTGTGCTCAGGTGTGGCAATTTTCTTGGTAGATGGCATTTCTTCCAGTGACCAAAACTTTTTCAAGGTCCTATCGATGAATACTAGCAACTCTTCACTGCAACTCAAACTGTTTGTAATTTGAGGAGCAAAACTCCTGGAAACATATTTTCCCGACACAACCCAACCAAGAAGTGTTTTCTGAAGAGTTGGAAAGTCAGGACCTTGTTTAATTTGACCAACAGCTAATAATTTAAAGAACGATTCTGCTCCAATTAGCATATCTATTCTTTGTGGCTTGTAGAAATAAGGGTCTGCCAGTGGTAGGTTCTCTGGGATTCGCCAGTCAGTCACATTCACTGACTGGTCAGGGTGATAACCTGAAATTGATTTCAGGATCCAAAAATCAAAGGAGAACTCACTACCATTTATTCGCCACTTCACCATTGTGTGTATTTTCTCCTTTACTTGAGAATGAGATTCACCAATTCCAGTCCTCGGTAATGAAATTTGTTTGTGATCCAGAGTCGAGCAGAGCTCTGGCCAGAATGTGTTCACCGCTCTTAGTTCGGACGCTTACGATCGACGTAGCCAGAATTACCCTGTCCAACGCTGTCGCATACAAAACATGTGACGTGGAAGGTTGATTCTGATTTGATGGAGGAGAAGGACTCTCTTGGGGTGGTGGCAACGCGAGACTATTAGCCGATATTGTGTATCGATGCAATAATGTATGATGTGAGCGGCTGCACACTCGACATTTATTGGCTTTGCATTTTACAACAGCGTGGCCTTTTCGCAGACAATTAATGCATAGGGATGCCGACTTAGCAAACTCAAACCTTTGCATCACCGAGAGACGCGAAAATGGAGGGCAATTTGACACTACATGGTCTCCTGAATTGCAGTAGCTACAAGTTTGCTGAGTTCTACTGTTCGTGGAAGTGGAAGAACAAGCAAATGAACTGCGATTGTGTTGCTTGCTTGGCATGACTTTGTCTTGCCTTGGCTTGGTCGATTCTTCAGCAGACAGATGCTGGTATTGACGTTTCAAGACTTTCTCAAAGTCGGACCAAAGCGGCAACTTCTCATAATTAAGCTGTTCATCCCACTTTTGTTTCTTCACTGGGTCGACTCTGTTTAAAACGAGATGAATGAGCATTGCATTCGAAATTTTTGTATCATCTCCGATCGACAGTAACGATCCGTAAATCGACGAAACAGTATCGATTAGAGTTCTTAGAGATGATGCAGATTGATGCGATATTCTCGGCAGATTGAGCAATGTGGAAATATTATTCGTGAAAATCAAATAATCGTTGTCATATACTCGTTTTAGGCCAGCCATGGCCTTTTCATAATTTGCCTCGGTGACTTGGAACTTGGATCAGAGAGGCACGAAATCAAATGATTAAATTTTTCGTATCACCGGTCCTCGATTTGCTCCTGCAAATGGTTAGCCTTTTCAATTGAAGCATTTAAACAATCTAATCTACATTATAATTCCGGTAATTGCAAAGGAATCGACCCTTGATCTAATCGATCCTCTAAGCGGCGAATGCTTTTTACTCGACTTTTAAGCTTCATCTTTAAGTCTTCAAGAGTAGATTTACTGTTTTCTGCCATAATATTTGTGTATGTAGATTTTACGCAACAAACCACAATTATTTCTATTTATTTATTATTATTATTTTTTTTTTTTAAATGTTTGAACGAGAACGATAATCGAAAACGAATTTTAATTGAATGTCGTGGCACGAGGTATCAAGGGAAAGAGTAGTTGCAAGTGACGGCCGAAAACAATATACCCGTTAGATACAGGGTAGCGCGTCACTTGGCAAGTAACAGCCAGCAAGTAACAGGCAACAGAATATACCCGTTAGATACAGGGTAGCGCGACAGTGATTGCAGTAAACGATAGATGTATGTACATATAACTTTTGCGTCCAAATAGCGGTTCACATATGTCTGTATGTGTCGATATGTATGTATTTATGTGTGTTTAGTTATATTTATGCAATTACTAATAAAATGCATGCAATCAAGCTCTACTATATCAAAGAGAGATCTGAATGTCTTTTGCTCAGCCTTCAATTTTCTGCACAAATACCTCTGATTCCTCTTTTGGAGCTTTGAATCCAACTGCTACTTTCCTGGCTTTATCGCAGGGCATCCCTCGGCGGTAGCAGAAATTTGCACAAAAATTATTCTTGGCGCTACCGACGCGACGATATTATGCAAATTGATTGCTGATTGACACACACACCACGACGCGGGCAACGAATATGTTTGCATATACTGCAATTTCTTGTGTCACTGTCACTTATTGTTGTTGCCTATAATTAACTTTACAGTCCACCCGGGGGCGCCATGAAAAATTAGAAGAGTTTTTCTAATGAATTAGCCGAAAACTTTGGGTGGCTGGGTGGATCGATCTATTTCAATGTTAGCGAACAACTATATTTCCTTCACAATTCAAAATCTCTTACTAAGTCGGAGCGCAAGGGCAGGCAAGCGGAGGTCGAGCCAGACCCGGAGCTGCCGAAGATCCCGAAAGAGGGGGCCTCGTGCGAGGAAGACAATCCGGCGTCGGATGCGGCGTCCATGATGTCGGACGACATCCTGCATATCCTGCGTCGACTACGCGTTCGACGAGAGCGACCTAGCCAGAGGTCTCAGCCACATCGTTGGCGGGGAGGAGCCGGATTCCCCCGACAGCGATCTAGAAGCAACAATGGTGGAGGTGAGTCTCAGGAATGTCACTGACGATCCTGCAGATAAACCTCCACCATTGTAAGGCATCATGTGCGCCAGCACAGCTCTATCTGGACAAGGGTGGAGCTCACATAGTCCTCATTCAGGAGCCCTGGATCCTCGGAAACAGGGTCTCCGGTCTGACTACAAGCTATACGTAGCTGAAACCGCAGGTAAAAGTCGTACCTGCATTCTTGCAAAAAGAGAGTTGCACTTAGCCTTTTTCCGGTCGGTTTACGGAGCTGCCATCAAAATGCGGACGATCAACTCGAACCAGTGCGTGAAAATCCCCAAGGACATCAAGGCCTCGGTGAAGGCTCGAGTAGTAACCATTACCGGTACTCGCGGCGTCCTGAAACGTAGCTTCAAGCATTTGGCTTTGGACATGTATATGTCTGACAAACGTACGTTGAAAGTAGAGAAATGGTTTGGAACAAAGAAGGAGCTTGCGGCAGTACGTACCGTCTGCAGTCATATTGAGAATATGATTAAGGGAGTAACGTTTGGCTTTCAATACAAGATGCGTGCTGTCTATGCCCATTTCCCCATTAACTGTGTCACTTCCGAAAACAACACAGTTATTGAAATCAGGAACTTTTTGGGTGAAAAGTACATTCGCCGTGTAGAAATGGCACCTGGTGTGACTGTCGTGAACTCCACAGCCCAAAAAGACGAGCTTATCGTTGAGGGTAACGATATCGAGTCTGTATCTGGATCAGCAGCGCTCATTCAACAATCGACTACCGTCAAAAATAAGGATATTCGTAAATTCCTTGACGGCCTTTATGTCTCTGAGAAGACGACCGTAGTGAAGGTGGAATCTTAGACAATAGACATTATATTGTGCTTCAACCTGAAATGTTAATAAACTAATGGCCGAAACTCAATGAGGAAAAAAAAAAAAAAAAAAAATTTTGCTCCCAAATTTCAGCAATGAAGACCACACCGCAGTGAGCCTCGAAAGCCAGGAGCGCTCACTGAGGATCTGCTCCGCATACATGGGGCATGATCAACCAGACCCCCCCTTCACACGCGCCTCTCCGGGCTCTAATCACAGACTGTTCGGCCAAGGACATCGGCCTAATTGTGGGGTGCGACGCCAATGCACATCACTGTCAGTGGGGAAGCAATGACAGAAACGAAAGGGGTGAGTTTCAGTTACTTACTGACCACTCAGATGGTCTTATTCAACCGGGGTAGTGATCCCACCTTTATTATTAAAAACCGCAAGGAGGTCCTGGACCTCACGCTTGCCTCTCATGAGATACAGAGTAACATTGTATGCTGGAGGGTCCTGGAAGATCACTCCTTCTCGGACCACAGGTACGTGGAAACAGTTTTCTCTTTCTCAGTACCGAAGCCAGTTCGATTCCGGAACATCAGGCGGAGAAACTGGACTCGGTACTCTGACTACCTCTGTCGTGTTCTCCCTGAGCCCCCACCTGAGGAGGAATTTTCCACGGATGCCACGACTCGTCTTATTAAGATCTTTACCGATGCCTGCAATAAGGCGCTCGACAAAGCCTGCACGTCTGGCAAGAACAGAGGCCTTAGGAAACCTGAATGGTGGAATCCGAAACTGCGGGAACTCTGGAAGGCCTCCCGGAGACTCTTCAATAAAGCTAATGCTGAAAATGTTGAGCAAAACTGGGCCGAATACAAGGCCAGTCTGTCAATCTACAACAAAGAACTTAGAAAAGCCAAACGCGCCTCCTGGCGTAAGTTCTGCAGCGAAATCGAGAGCCTCGCGCTTGCGCAGAGTTCTCTCGAAGACAACACCCACCCTGGGCTACTTGAAGAACACCGACCAGTCGTGGACTACGTTCAGCGATGAATCGATAAATCTTCTCCTAAATACTCACTTCCCTGGCTGCGATGAAAACAGACCCAACTACTTCGCGCCTCCTTCTGTCGTCTCAAATGCTCTCCTGAGCCTGCTAAGCCGGGAGAACATCTCCTGGGCGATCAGAAGTTTTAAACCTTACAAATCCGCGGGCCCAGACGGCATTTTCCCTGCACAACTGATTCACGCGGGACTTAAAGCCATTAACTGGCTCAAAATAATTCAAGAGGGAATCTTTTCCCACGGGTGCATTCCTGACACCTGGCTTCAGACCAAAGTCGTATTCATACCCAAGGCAGACAAGCCCTCGCACACTGCCCCAAAAGATTTCAGGCCCATTAGTCTATCTCTTAGTCTATCTATTAAGAACGGCTCCTGGGGCTGCATCTCACAGCGTGTATTCAGTCCAGTCTGATCTCAGACTCCCAGCATGCCTATCGGAAGGGAAGATCCACCGATACGGCCCTACACTCGATCACATCGATCATCGAAGCGTTCCTTAACTTTAAAGAGTAAACCCTCGTAGCCTTCCTCGACATAGAAGGCGCTTTTAACAACATCCTTCCGACCGCCATCACGGGCGCACTGACGGATCTGGGGGTTGGCTCCAGGACGGTGAGCCTGATCGATCATATCCTGCAATGCAGGACGGTTGAGGCATCACTGGAGACGTCAACATGTCAACATGTCAACAACGCCAGATTCGTCTGCAGAGGCACACCGCAGGGCGGAGTCCTCTCGCCCCTCCTATGGAACGTGGCAGTGAACACACTGCTGCGGGAGATAGAGGGGGGTGGCTGCCGTGTGGTGGCGTATGCGGGCGATGTTGCTATAGCACTCTCCGGAAAATTTCCGCAGACGTTGTGTGAGTGCATGACAAGTACTCTCACGAAAATGTCCAAATGTGCAGACAAATGTGGGTTAGGCGTCAACCCGTCTAAAACGGAACTGGTGCTTTTCACTAGGAAGTACAAGGTTCCGGTACTGATTCCCCCTAAACTATGTGGGGAAGCGCTAGTTTTCAGCAGCAACGCCAAGTATCTTGGCCTAATCCTCGACAGAAAGCTCGACTGGAAATTGAGCATAGAGGACAGAGTAAAGAAAGCCACAGTGGCCCTCTATACTTGCAGGAAAGCCATCGGACTAAAATGGGGAATGACCCCCTATATAGTCCGGTGGCTCTACACCGCCATCATACGACCGATCATGCTCTATGGAGTGGTGGTATGGTGGCCAGCCTTAGACAGAAGGACATGCCTCAATAAACTCAGCAGAATTCAACGCATGGCAGAACTATGCATCACTGGCGGGCTACGCACTACTCCAGGGGAAGCCCTGGATACTGTGCTGGACCTCCTCCCTGTAGATCTCATGGGAAAGAAGGTGGCAACACTTTCTGCCCTCAAAATGAGAGAAGCCAGTATGTGGAAGGCGTCCGCCGTTGGGCACTCGGGACTCCTGATGAGACTCCCGCAATTACCAGAGAGGACAGATTACTGTATTCCAAGTGATCACCTCTCGACGCCCTTCCAGGTATCAATCCCACCTAGGGAGGACTGGGAGATGGGCGAACCAGGACCTGCAAATGCGGTTCACTTCTACACTGATGGCTCATAGCTAGACGGCCGCGTGGTATGCGGAGTCTACTGCAGCGAGCTGAAAATCAGTCATTTCTTCAGGCTCCCGGACCACTGTAGTGTGTTCCAAGCGGAGATTGAAGCCATCAAGGAGGCCATTTCTATCGTCTCCAAACTTCGTCTAGACACGCACTTAGTGTGCGTCTTCTCGGACAGCGAACTCAGCGACTGTAAATGACTGCAGCAGGTCTCTGCACGAGATCGCAGAGCAGTTAGATCTCTTCCTTATATGGGTCCCCGGCCACAGGGACATCGAGGGGAACGACGCCGCCGACGAGCTAACCAGGCAGGGTACTACGATCCCTCTCCTATCGGAGAGGGAGCAGGTAGCGATGCCCTTAGCTACGTGCAGGCTCCTAACGCACGAATTGTTCGAGCAAAAAGCCAATAGGAGATGGCAGTAAAGTCTCCTGTAAAGTCTCAAGATTGATATGGCCATATCGATCGGAGAAGCGCTCAGCAGAGCTGTATAGACTCAGCAGAGCACAGTGCTCTGCAGTTACTCGAGCCATTACGGGACACTGGCAGATCGGCACTCATGCCTCCAGACTGTCAATCCCTCATAACGACTTCTGCAGGTGTTGTCGCGACGAGGATGAGGAGGAATTGGTCCCCCACTTCTTCTGCCACTGCCCAGCCCTTGGAAATCGTCGTCTTCGTATTCTCGGGGCCGCTTTCCTCAAGGACATTTCGGGCCTGTCCGAAATCAAACCAGGTACCTTGTCCAAATACATCCAAGCCACCGGATGGGACTGCCCTTAATCCTGCAGTAGTCTGCTCTCACGGTTCAGGCAACGAGAAGGGGCATATGCCCACGCGGCAACACAACGGACCTTCTATAGGTACAAGTGAGCTCGGGGGCGGGAGGCTCACATCCCCCCCTCCCGGCTACCGCCTTAACCTAACCAATACTGATTTGAACGCTATCCTCTATCTCGGATCTCTTTTCGTTTTCCCTCACCTCTTCTACCTTATAAAAAATTACTCCATTTTTCCCAAGTGTAACGCTCACTCCCTCTAATACGTCACTACCGATTACCGCGCTATACAAAGTGTCTCTATCTTTGACCACATGAAAACACATCTCAATCGGAATGCCATCTAGCTCAGTATCAACAAAGAAAAATCCGAGGGTACTAATTCTATTCCCTCCGATTCCAACTAATTCTTTCACTTGCGCCCTTAATGGAACCGGGTACGCTCGCTTATATGCGCTCTCACTCATAGTGCATAAGTCACTACCGGAATCAAAAAGCGATGATATCACTTCATTACCGAACCGAATATCCTTAAAAACCCGATTATACCTTCTCTGGACTAGCTGTTGTGGATTTGATACCTCCTTTATATCTTTCTTTTGGACTTTACATTGATTACATCCCCACTGTTCGCATTTGAAACATTTTATACCCTTCTCCACACAATCTTTAGCCAGATGATTTTTTCCTCCACACTTGAAACATCTAGGTTCAACCGCCCTGATATTCTGTTCCTTCTTCTCGAACTTCGTCTTTGATCTTGACTCCAGATTCGACGATGTTTTCTCGTATATTTTCATTTTGTCTCTTAACTCTTTAAAGTTACGGCATCCTTGGTCTGATATAACACGCTCTTGTTCTGATTTGTATCAGGTATACCTTCGATTATGTATTCTATGACGCTATCTTCATCTAAATTACTCTTTTTGGCTAGACTCTTCATTTGATAAAAATATTCTACCTTACTTTTATTCGGCTTCTTCTTCCTATTCTCGAGTTGCTTGTGTACTTGCTTAGCCGACAATTTCTCTGTAAGCTCCTCCTCTAAAGCTTCTTTAAGTGTATCCCAATTAGTAAGACCATCTTGACTGTTTACAAACAACTTCGCAGCACCTTTTAGCAATTGCCTACCATATACGAACTTTTGCAGCGCTTTCTTTTAGCTCGAATACGGTGAGTTGTGTGATCTCGTTGTGCAACATTAGTATTGTAATTAATATGATATAAACTTAAAATAATGTTGAAGGATTTTGATTAATGTTTACGAATAATATGTTTTATCTCACTCTTTAACATTTTTATACTTTATCTCTGTTACTCTTACTCTGCTGTCTCTCCTTGACATCTTTCGCTATTACGCTAATTATTTCTTACGTCGTTTCCTTGCTCTGCACCCATCCACGCGTCTGATGGATAACGCCGTCGTCTGTGGATGTGGCTGCCGCACTCGGGACCTTGATTTTCTTCTTTTTCTCTGCTCTCGATCGTCTCGTCACGCTATGTACCCATCTGCTGGTTGATGCCCTCTCTCTGGATTCTGCTGTGCTCTGCTCTTTCTGGACCCTCTCGTCGCGTTCTGCACCCATACACACATCTGATGAATATTGTCGTCGCCTGTGTATGTGAATGCCGCTCTCTGGATTCTGTTG